TGGTGTAAACATAGAACAAGGCATCTTCCAGCCGTGTCTTCTCTTGGACTGTTGAGGTGGTAATCATTGCATTTCTAGAATGGGAGCTCTTTCGATGTTGACTGAACTCTAGCCTTCCACATGCCACCACCAGTGGGAAGGGTGAGTGAGGGGTTCATTGTGAAGAGAGAGGTGCAGTCTCTCTCCCACAAGACATGTCCTTCCCTCATCAGCATGGCTTAAGACAGGGAGAGCACAATGTCACCATGTCAATGGGAGGCAAGTGAGGACATTGATTGAAAGGCCCATTGATGTTCAGTCTTGAGAGCCGTCATCTAAGGACTACCTAATACATGGCTCAGAGCCTGCAGCAATGGCATCTATCACCCTGGGAGACAGAGGCTAGGGCATGAGGGGGAGCACAGGGTAAAGATGATCTGCCACCCTGCCTGCCATCCTCAGGTGCTGTAGACAGGAGGAGGCACCACCATCAAAACACAGGCCCACACTGGTAGCTCAAGCCAAAGGGTTGGTGTAAAAAGTTGGCAGCCCAGAGCCCTGAAGTTGTCCTGTGTGCATTGTGAGAGTCACCCTAAATCAATGTCAGCACCATTCTGGTGGCCCAATCTTGGGTCATCCCACACTGCTTCAGCCAGCAGGAGTGATCTGCTTGCCAGGCCATCCACCTTAAATGGGGGCCTAACCACCAGTCTCTGAGAGGACCTGCTAGGTGTGAGTTCCAGAGCTCCTCAGGCTATCAAGTTGACCTCATGTGCAAGATAGAGGGTCCAAAAGCATCTCGAAGAGGACAAATGAAGACCAGGGTCCATGTGGGTCTGGGTCTGGGCCAGGAACATCATACTTGGAGAATATTGCCAGTCCTGGCAGTACCAGGCCCTAAGAAGGACTTAGAAAATTCAAGTAAGACCCTCCATAGAGCTGGGGATAGGGGAGGGGGAAGGAGTCTGAGGAAGGGCCCATGGCAGAGGCCTTATTGGCCCAGAACTTCCCCTTCTCCTCTTGAAAGTCTGATACAGCAACAAGAACAGGGGCAGTGGTGGGGGGAACCCATTAACCCCATGTGTGGTGATTCATAGAATCTGCAGGCTCTGAAATAGTGCAAGGGCTGTCCACAGCAAGTCCCTGAGATCAAGAAGATCCCAAAAGGAGGAGGTAAAGAGAAGAGCCAAAGGTGGGGGGTGTGGGGAGACAACCCGGTGAGGGCAGGTCCCAGAAAGTTTAAGCAAAAACACTCTATTGAAAGTCAGGAATGCTCCCTGATGAGTAAAATCTATACCCCTGATTTACAATGATAAGGATTGTCACTGAAGTGGGCAGCCTTGGCTGCCCTGCTGGACTTCAGAAGAGCAGAGGAGGCCAATCAACAGCAGGTCCACAGACAAACTATGTTTCCTTCAGGAAAACTTGGAGAGTGGCTATGTGCCAGGCTCTGTTCCAGACAGAGGTGGAGACAACATCTGTGAGCAAAACAGACAAAATCTCTGCTCTAAAAGAGTTTGCAGTCTAGTGGGGGAAGACAGAAAATAAGCTAGATAAATAGAAAAAGGATACAGTAGTATAGGAGGTGGTAAATGCTATGGAAAAATAAAAAGCAAGGAAGATGGATAATGAGTGCCGGCATTTTCAAGTAAATCATTCAGGAAGTCTTCTACTGGAAGCATGATTGGAGCAAAGATTTGCAGGGCAAAGGTAATATTGACATGTTTTGGAAAAATGTGAATGGATTTAGGATCTGCTCCACTGGATTTTCATTCAAATATTTCAAAGTAATTATTAGAATGTGTGTGCATTGTTAGCATTTACCACTGAGCCAGCTTGGACACCACTAACAAGACACATTCTGAAGACAAGTACCTCTCATTGTGAAGGGGGAGATTTGCAGTTGCTGTCTGGAGTTGCGCTGGCCAGGAGGCCCCATCCAACCTTCCTAATCCTGACCCTGAACAACCCCACCTGTGGCTGCCCCTTTGTCCTTGGACAACTGGAATGCAACGTACTCCAGCAGCTCCATGGCCCCTTGTCAGTGAAGGGCAGCAGTGTGTCACAGCTGCTGTTGAAATAGATGTCCAGCTGTAGACCACCTCCTAATCCACAATCAGGAGTTGTTCATTGTGCTTGCCACCTTTGGGGACTTCAGAACGCACTATCAGACCCACTTCCTCAAGCGGTCATTCAAGGAGCCTGGTAGAGGGCTGAGATCAATACCAGCAGCACATCACGTGTCACAGCATGTCAGGTGATGAACTGAGCTCAGGGACCATGGAAGCATCCCCAGCAGAGTACCAGTGATGAAGATGTCCTCAAAACCTCCAAGGGAAACCAGGCTCCCAATTATTCTTCACCCTTTACATAGAGAACACGTTCTGCCTTGGGGACAAAGGGTGGCTGATCTGAGGAGCAGCCTCCGTAGTGAGTTACTGATAGAATGAGAATGTTGTTTCAGGGATGTGATACAGGTGGCAAATACAGGATGCTTTGGCAGTGGGGAGAGGCTGCAGACAGAGTCCAGACCTTAAATGATTATGGGAGTATAGGCAGGATATGCAAAGACCCAATCCAGGGCTCTGATCTTGAGAATGGAAATGAAAGGATCCAGATAATAAAGTCAAATGCAAAAAATAAAAGCCACCTTGTTGAGGATTGGAAGGAAAAGTATTATTTAGGAGTTAAAAGACTAAAGTTTGACCTTGGGCTTGGGTGAGTTATTTAAAATTCTAAAGCCTCAATTGAAAGTGAGAGTTATACTTAATAAACTCTAAATTCTCATTCAGTTTAAATATTCCTAGTCTATGCTTTTCTTGAGTGGTTCATTAAAACAGATAAAAGAGTTGAACCTTTGGGAACATTTGGCATAAGTTAGATTTAAAACCCTTTCCTTCTCCCTCCAAATGACTTGAATTTGAGGATTATGACCCCACTTCAGTCCAGTCCTCTTTGCCACATTTAGAATATATGGACCATTGTCAAAACCGAACTGTTGACATCTGGAAAATATTGCCACTTATCTGCGGAGATGCATGGGTGTTGTGAAGGCCCTTACGGAGTCCGCAGACAGACTCCAACCACATCGATAGAGAGCTCAGTCTCCTTGGGAAAAAAATGGAAGAAGCCCCAGGTTGACAAATGGCAAAGAAATAAAAAGGAACTTGCAAGTTCACAAAATCTGGAGTCATTTTCAAAACATGATCAGAGTTGTTACACTGGCTTCCGTTGCAGCACGCGGCCTGTGTATGCTCACATCCCCATCAATGTCACGATGCAGGAGAGTGGGTCACTTGTCGAAATCTGAAATTTCTTAGGTAAAAGTATATCATCAGGTTTACATGAGGCTAGGTGCTACTTGTGTCTCAAGCCCCAACATTAAACTCATGTAAAATTCATTTTCTCTTACCATGAGCCATAACAGTCAAACCAAGCATATTAGGAAAATTTGGATGGTATCAGTTTCAATACAATGATCTGATAGATAAGATTTAAGGGTTGTCCAGCTGCTGAAACAAGAAGTTGCTGAGAGCTAAGCCTAACATGTTATTTATTAAATTGTAATAAATTATATCTATTTTAAAAACTGTATTACTAAACTGAGGATTCCACCATGGAGTAACTAAATCCTGGTGACTTTATGGCTAATGTTACTTTCTTTGTAAGTTCCCAATTAGTTAATCTTTAAAGGTAAGAGTCTTGCACTGAGTGATTTACTCAAGATTTGCAAAATCCTCGTACAGTTATCTGTTTGACTCCTCCAGAAGCCATGAATCACACTAATATCAGCAGCCCAGCTGCTGAGAACCTGGGAGGAAAGACATTCTTCCCATTCTCTGCCATCACTCTACTGTGGTTTCCTTGGGTTTCCCCTTCTACCAAAACAGGCCATGGGCTCCCCGGGGAGGAAGAAGAGAGACACTCAGCCTCAAGGTTGCTGAACTCTAGTTCCTCAGAGTAGACTGGACACTGGCCAAATGGTAGCACAACCTAGCTTCTGGATAAATACCCAACCCTCTCCCTATATTCTCAGGTTGACCATCTTGAGTACAATTTTTCAAATGACTACTAGCATGAGGAATTCATAAGACCACAAACTATAAGGAAATAAAGTAGATGCAGAACTCAATTTTACCCTGCTTAGGATATTAGATTTATTAGATTGAATGAGATGAAACAGATGTTTTTGTAGGTCAAGAGCAACCAAATATTGGCAGTTTCACATGATTCAAGCTATACTCAGGAATCCTTCCGTTCTGGATTCTCTGTCTTCTCACTTGACTTTAACCTATTCCTGCTCTTCCTCTCCAGCTTCTCAGAATTTTGCCTCCAAATTCCGCTACCTATCCTGAAGCCAGCTGAGTCCCTATTAGCTAAGTTCCTCTAGCTAACCGAAGATCCACTCCAGAAACACTCATTGAACACCTTCTCTGAACCAGGGACTGAGCAAATTGCTGATACAAAGGCAGAGGGAAGTCTATCCTAGCCTTTGAGGAGCTCATAGTCTAGTGGGAAAGGGAAATTTTAAAAACATATTTAATCAGTTTGGTGATAGAAATATGTCCAGAGTGTTATAGAGAGTCAAGGAGCAGCATGCTTGGGGGAAGAAGTGAGGAAGGTTTCAAAGAAGAGTTGACATTTAGATTAGGCCTTAAAGGATATGTAAGATTTCCTGAACAAACCAAGGCAGGAAAGGTATTACAGGCAGGGACGATGCCAAACACTAGGGTCTGGGGGCATGAAAGACGATTGAATGTTTGGGAAATGGGCAATAACTTGATAAGGCTCAATGATAGGATGCAAGGAGGTAACAGGAGATTGCTGTCAGATCTCAAAGGAGCATGGAATTTTCTTCCTTCATCATGTGGATGAGCCACAGAGATTTTTCTAATCAGGAAAGTAACATGATGTTTGTTTTTGAAATGTAATTTTGCAAAATTCAGAAAAGTGTGTTCTCTTTCTATGACCTGTGAGACTAGAAGGGAAGAATCAAGCAAAATGAGTAGGATGTATAGGCTTTAAAAATTATCTTTATTGTTTTATCTACTTACAAAAGAAATACAGATTCATTCTAAGCAACTCCAACATCATAGAAATATACAACACAGAAACCAAATGCTCCCTGTAATCTAACCTCCCAGACCCAAACCACTGTTACTACACCAGTGTACTTGTATAGATTCCTTTAGACTTTTATTTAAGTGTATAAACCAATATATTAATATAATTTTCTTCATACCAGTAAATATAGAACTATCTCATTCTTTTTAGTGGCTGTGTAATATTCTATTGCATTAATGTACTGTAATTTATAGAATCAATCTTTATTTTGTGGACATCTGAGCTGTTTTCAATTTTTTCGTGATTATAAACAATGCTGGGATAAATACTTTTTTACATAAACCATTGCAAACTTGTGTTTCTATAGGATACATTCTTAGAAATCCTCCAAGGAACTGACATGCAGGAATGATCGTTTTTCATTTTAATAGATATTGCTAAATTGCCATCATAATGGTTGTATTAATTTATATCCTAACAGTGTGTGCAGACCTCAACTTCCCTAGGGGAAGGGAGGGGTTCATAGGCAGTCTGTTCTTATCAGAGAAGATGCAGAACCTTGAGCCTCTTCATTCAGCTCTATGACTGTCTGTAGTTCACATGTCTCTCTGGTTTCTTCTAAATCAACATGAATGGCAGCTCGCAGATTTGTCCAAAAAAGTCTACATTTACGCCTATCCTTGGGCCATTCCAAGTATGCTTTCTTTTCCATGAGAGCTTTCAGGTTAGGATACCTGGTAGGAATGCAGTAGAGTGGAATGGGTTCCAGTAAGACGAGAATTATGTAATTAGAATTTTCATGGAAGAGATTGTGATGGGCAAAGTAGAGTTCATAATGGCACCACTCACTCTGGACAAAGTTGGGAGACAAAACTAAGATGATCTTACAGTTTTTCTCAGTACAGTTTATGACATTTTCGGTAATGCTCTTGCCAGGATCAAAGTTTCCCTCATGAAGGCAAATTAAAACAGAACCATCTTCTCTCTCTAGATTGGGGATCAATTCATGCTTCACCCAGGCAGAATCAGGTTCGCTGTATGAAATAAACACGTGGAATAGGACATTTCGCTTGAGTTGTTCTTGGGTTGTCTTCCTAACCCTGTGCCATGTCTGTGTCCATTGACATAGCATCCTGAGATACCAGGGCAGATCAAAGTGCAGGCAGCAGAAAGCCAAAGCCATCCCCAGAATGAGCATGATAACCACAATGATGACAATCAATAGAGCTGTGTTACAGGATAGTTCAGGAAGGTAAACATCCTTTAACTGAGTCCCCTTTAGATTCAAAGGGTACTCACAAATGTATGAATCTGACCATCCAACCATCATGCCCTCTGAATATTTTTCGAGCTGAATGAAATCTCTTAATTCACAAGTACACCGGAATGGATTTCTTCCTGCATTTAGAGTCTTAACTTCCTGGCAGCTCTGAAAAAAATCCAGAGATGGGCTGAGAATTAAATTCATTTCAATGTTCAGAACTGAGAGTTTTCTGAAATGACTGCACCCAGGAAGATCAGTCAGAAAATTAAATGCAAGATTTAGCTCTCGCAAAGACTTCAGATGAATAGTCTCTTTAGGGACAGTTTGAATTTTGTTATTATTCAGGTCAAGTATTTGAATACTTCTGGGCAAGCACCTGAAAACAGAATCAGCAAATTTATTGGATGACAGGTTCATGGTGATCAAGGTTTCTGGCCACGAGCAATTTTCATCATTTTCATGTTGTAACAGATTTTGGCTCAGATCTAAGTGCTTTAAGGTTGTGTTGTTAGCAAAGCAACTCACTAAGGAAAGTGTCTCCAATTTATTGCCCTTCAAAATGAGAGTTTTCAAACGAGGCAATTGGATAGGTTTTTTAAACAGGTCATCTGTTAAGATATTATTAGCAAAATTTAAATATTGGAATCTTGTAGGATACATAGGGAACAGCATGTGTGGCATTTGTGCATCTGATATTGTCAAGTTTTCTATATCCATCTTCGTAAAAAGCAAGTAGACTTTCTCCTGTGGAATATAAAAAATTCGAAAATGTACATGCTCCAATTTTATAGTTCTCATTACAGTATTTGAGTAGTCAAATGAATTGTGGTCAAGATAAACCTTACCTCCAAAAGTCATATTTTGAATGTAGAAATATTCCACTGATGTATGCCAAACAAATTGGAAGATGAGGAGAAGGTCGTCCCAGAGTAAATCAACTTTATTAAGTAACAGAATAGATGTCTTGGCATTCTCTAAAGTAAGATTTTGTTGAGTTTCATAATTTGCAAATTGGCTTTTGCCATCTACATTTGTCATTTCTAATATTTTTGAAGTCTTGAGTCCATCATGCAAAAGAACCCAGAAATTAATGTTCATTGGTAAAACAATGTGAAGTTTTGTTATGTTTAAGATGGGCAGGCTGCCTTCTTCATAATAAGAAAGAGTTCTCAATCCTAAGAAGACAGTCTTTAGATGCAAATGAGCAATTTTCTGGAAGTCCGATTTTTGTATTTTTGCTCCACTCAAACCTAGGACTTCCAGGTGTGACATGTTGCCAGTCTCCTCAGAGATAGGCATGGTGTCAAAGTCATTGAAAGAAAGATCTAAATATCTGAGACCTGCCAGCGAATACCAAGTTACAATCTTCAGTTTGTTGTAAGACAAATCTAAATATTTTAACTCCTTGTTGAATTCAAAGGTCTTGATATCCAGTTCTTGGATTCTGTTATGGCATAGAATCAAAACTTTCAGTTTAGAGACAGAATGAAAATCTGAGCTCTGGAGTTGAAAAAGGAGATTGTAGGATAAATCCAGTGTGGTTGTGGTTGGGGTCAAGTCTGCAGGAACCTTTCTTAGAGACATGTTGGAGCAGTTGGTAGTCAATTCCCTTTCTTCTGGCAGCTTTGAAGCCCAGCCATGCACTGACATAACAATACTACAAAATACATAAACACTTCTGATATGTCTCATTGTAATTCCAAGAATTTTATCACTGGTTCCCTCATATGAATGATGAAGACGAGTTCAAAATCCTAGAAAGATAGCAAGTTAAGTGGTTATGTGGTTTGTTAAATCCTGCAGGACTTTTATTTTTTAAAAATGCCAACATCTGAGTATATTCACCAAGACTTTGGAATAGGATCTCAAACTGTTTATTGAGTCTTTGACTTGATCTCAGAACTTGTCTAATAGATTTCCAAATCAGTTACTGTGTCATATTCCCATCACTGAGGCAAGTCAGGTTTCCCAGAAGGGAGAAATAAAACAGTTGTAAGAGGTGCCTCTCTCCCAGTTCAACTTAGGAACTTCACTACCAGGTCATACTCAACACCCTCCTTCACGTCCCCTTTTGCTAGTCTGAAAGCTTTAAGAAATTTGAAAGTAATTTTTTTAATAAGACTTTATTTTTTTAGAGCAGTTTAAGGTTCACAGCAAAATTAAGGGAAGTTACAGAGATTTTCCGTAGCCTCCTGTACCCCGCCCAGATGCATAGGCTTCTCCATTATCAACATCCCCCACCAGCGTGGTACATTTGTTACAATTGATGGGCCTACACTGACACATCATAATCACCCAAAGCCATTGTTTACATTACGTTTCACTCTTGATGTTGTACATTCCATGGGTTTGGATAAATGTATAATGACATGTGATCCATCATTATGATATCATACAGCGTACTTTCACTGCCCTAAAAATCCTCTGTGCTACACCTACTCATCCCACCCCCCCCATCCCCAACAATCCTTGGCAACCACTCATCTTTTTTTTCGGGGGAGGAAGATCAGCCCTGAGCTAACATCTATGCCAATCCTCCTCTTTTTGCTGAGCAAGACTGGCCCTGAGATAACATCTATTGCCAATCCTCCTCCTTTTTTTCCCTTTTTCCTCCCAAGGCCCCAGTAGATAGTGTATGTCATAGGTGCACATCCTTCTAGTTGCTGTATGTGGGACGCCGCCTCAGCATGGCCGGACAAGCGGTGCGTCGGTGCACGCCCGGGATCTGAACCCGGGTCGCCAGTAGCGGAGCGTGCACACTTAACCACTAAGGCACGGAGCCGGCCCCACCACTGATCTTTGTATTGTCTCCATTGTTTTGCCTTTTCCAGAAAGTCATATAGTTGGAATCACACGGAATGTAGCTTTTTCACATTAGTTTCTTTCACTTAGTAATATGCATTTAAAGTTCCTCCATGTCATTGCATGGCTTGATAGCTCATTTTTTTTTAGCCCTGAATAATATTCCATTGTCTAGACTACCACAGTTTATTTATCCATTCACTTATTAAAGGACGTTTGGGTTGCTTCCAAGTTTTGGCAATTATGAAGAAAGTTGCTATAAACATTTGTGTGCACATGTCCATTGTGTGGACGTAAGTTCTCAATGAAAGTAATTCTTTAACACCAAACACTGTTGGCCTCTGAATTAATGTCATGGAGTTGTTCCTCAACTTTTGTGTTTGTGGACACAGAGAGTCCCTTGAGCTAATATCTGACTTTCCACAACACTTACCCATATGCATGGAAGGTCCAAAACACAAAAACAAACAGAATGGTTCTTGTCCTTATGCCTCCATGTGTCTTCAGGTTGGTGGCAAAAGCAATCTGGATCACTGCCGAATAATAGTAATAATGATAAAAATAGTTTCCATTTCTTGGAGGCTTTCTGTGTGCCAAGATATATACTAAACCCTTCATATATATTATCTCACTTATTTATCACAAAACTCTGTGAGGGAAGTAGTATTACCGGCATTTTACAGATGAGGAAACTCATGGATGCAGAATTCTGAGGACTTTGAGAGAAGAGCCAGGCTCCAAGTTGTTTGATTAGATACAGAAGTGGTTGGAGAACTAAGTTTTCACAATCTTCATTATTCAAGGTATTTATTAAGTACCTACTCTCCCAGGAACTTTTCTAGGCACTGGGGATATAGCAGTGAGTAGAACAGATGGAATTTCTGTCCCTATACGGCTTACATTCTAGTAAAGGGTAAGAAAAGAGAGACTATAAACAAAATAATAAATTTATGTTAGGTGGTGATAAGGGCTAGAAAGAAAAATAGCTAAGGTAAAGGGGGACAGAGGGCATCTGGGGAGTGATATTTTGTATAGAGTGGTCAAAAAAGGCCTCTCTGATACAGTGACATTCATGCAGAGATCTAAAGGGAGAACAGCAAGTACACGATCAAAGACCTGATGCGGGACTATGCTTGGAAAATGTGAGGAATGACTAGATTGGAGTTGGGGAAGTAGACTGAAGACGTCAGATTTTATAAGGACTCAGGATTTTCCTCTGGTTGAAATAAGAAACCAGTGGAGGATTTAGAGTAAAGGAGCGCCAGGTTCTGATGTACATCTTAAAGACTCCTCTGCTTGTTCGATGAAAATGACTGGAAGGGCACAAGGCTGGCAGGGAAGACCCCTTGGGACACTATAGAGCAACTTATGCAAGAATGAAGGTGGGGGGGCGAGAAGTGGCTAGATTCTAATATTAAATTAGTAAACTTTTCAACTTTACATCCTCCCACACCAGGCACTCTGAAAACACCAAGGAAAGGGAATTAGCAATGGTGCGAGCTTTCCTGCTTTTACTTGCATGTGTCCGATACACCTTGACCCTCAATGCCCCTCAGACTGGTCACTCCCATAGACAAGCAGGAGGAACAAAAGGCATACTCCCTGGGAAGAACATGGCGTAGCGAGACTTCTCTGTACTGTTCATGCTTCCCGTTGATCTGAGAAGCTGTGTGTCTGCGTGTGTGCGCATAGACACACATACCCATGCAGGCATGGTGAAGGGACAAACTGACAGAACAAAGACAAAAGGACGCCTGGAATAATACCTCAATCTCATCTGGATTTTTCTTTCTCTAGAATCTGACCAAGTTTGTGTTTTTTGTTGTTGTTGAAGTGAAGAAATTCTAGAAAACGTGGATATTTCCAAAAATAATTTTAAAATGAAAATACTTTATAAAACTGTCTCATAGAAAAATAGGAAAATGGACAGAAATGCTCAAGCATCTGTGACATGACTGTGGAGAGAAAACTGATTTGGATATTTGTTGTCCATTGCGTGCTCCATGGAAGAGGGTCATGAAAGGCACTAAGTGGGGATGGGATTGAGGAGACAGTAGCCTGGAACTGGCCTAGGGTGTTCACTTTTCACTGAAATATTCCCTCCAATCCATCCCAGGTAGTCCTTTCTTGGTCATCTCCTTTTTATAGGACATTTAGTATAGCATCTAATGATCAATATAAGAACAAATACGAATTTGAAAAGAAAGCCTCTTTGATGCAGCTTTATGTCCATGGTAATTTTCCAGATTTCAGGAATTCAGTAAAATTAAATTATTACCAGTACCATAATTTTAATCAATTACCCACATTTAAGATGATGACGTGAGTAGCTTGTTCTGTTTGATGAATCTGTATATTTATTTCTATTCAGCATGTCCGATGGCATCTCCCCTCCATATTGACTCTATCATGCAAATAAGGCAGTGGTGCCTTGATGTCTTTTTGGGTAACAACAACTACCATTTATTAGGCTAAGTAATACTAATTTGACATAGATTGATCCTTACAACAACCATCTTATAAGGTAACTGCTATCACTATTCACCCTTTACAGATTTGAAAAGTGGTGGTAGGTCGGGTAACTGCCTCACAGTCACAAAGTTAAGACATGGTGAGTCCAGAGCCTGGGCTCTTAGTCACTCTGCTATCTCGTCTCTCTAGGGTGAGTCAAGGTAAATCTGTTTTCAAAATACATTACAATACATTAATCACAAGGAAAGTATGTCTCACTAAGTCATACCGATTCTTTAAAATTTCCTAATACACAGTCCAAGTAACTGTATTGCCACCCAACTGCAAATGCAATGCCACAATTTAGGTTTTATATCAATTACTTTACAAGGACCGGCATGGATTGAGCCATTATGTTGAGCACTATCTCGTCTAAGCCACTGTATTTGGGGGTCACTTGTTACAGCAGCCAGTCTATGTCCCAACTAATGTACTACCACACTTACAGTAAAACCCGAACTCCTAATACTGGATTACAACAGCTCCACAAGCTGCTCTTGCTTCCTTGGACTTGACACTCCTGTCACACTGCCCGTCTCTTTGTTCCTTGGCCACACCACGCTTGCTCCGACCTTAGGGCCTTTGCACTAGCTTTTTCCTCTCTTGGAATGCTCTTCCTCCAATCCTTCCTTGGCTGGATCTTTCATCATTTAGATCTTGGCTTAAAGTTTTTCTTCTCTAAGAGACCTGACTTGATGAACTAATGTAAAGTGACCAACTTGCTACTAGTTCATATCACCTTATTTTATTTCCCTACAAAATAGAGCACTTACCACTATCTGAAACTTTTGTTCATTTATTTGTTTATTGAATCTCCCTCACCTCTCACATCCATGAGAGAAGGGAGCTGATGATCTTGTTCACTTCTGTATCCCCCAACACACAAAATAGTGCCTGTCACACAGCACATGCTCAGTAAATACTTTTTTAATGTGTATATGAATGAATGAATGATTTCAATTTTATATCCATTAGCACAGGTGATACCTAACATGCTCTCAAAAATACGTGTTGAATGAATGAATTTGTGTTGTGAATTCTGATATGGTGCCATGCATGATGGTTAGAGAATGAGTTTAGTGTTGGATTGATAGATCTGTGTTCAAGTCCAATCTTAGCCACCCACTTGCTGTGTTAACTTAGATCATTTATTTAACTGCTGAAAGGTTCCATTTTCTCATCTGTAAAATGCGTTTTGTGCAGAGGCATAAAAGAGATAATGTCTATAAATCTCTTGTTATCAGGCCTACCATATCACAAATGGTAGCAGTTATCAGGGCCAAGACTAGGGTGACTTCAGGCACAAATTTTAAGAGGCATCAAGAAACTCAGTAATTAAGACAAATAATGTTTTAATGAAATATTTTTAAAAATTAAAATTAATTCAAAATACATGATGAACAAAATATCAAAATTTTTCAAAAAGACAAGATTAGTATTACTGACTTTTCCTTTTGTCTCAGGCTCCAGTGTGGCTTGGCAGGACACTGGCAGTTATAATCATTAAGCTGACAAAGGTGTTTTTAACATTATTATCTCACAGAGTACCTCAATTTATAGCAACTTACTTTAAGCTCCTAGGTCTGGGAGCTATGGCCCTTGAAAAATGCAGCAGAATCTAACCCAGTTACTTTATCTGGAATCAACTGAGTTGAGCTTCTATATTTTCATATTTCATAGCTTCTATATTTTGCCCACCTCTTCTCCCTGCCCGTTACCACAACCTCATGTAGAACTTATTCTAAATAAGAGAGAAGAACTAACTCTTCTTGAGCTTCTCTTAATAAAATAAAACAAAAAGCTCCTATCTCTCAGGCAATGTATATGCATTACGGCATTTCATTAAAACATTTTTAAAAGAAGACACAAACTTTTGCTGAAAGATGCATTCAATAAATGTTATATATTATTATCACATTCCCAGTACTATTACTACTATGCTAAAAGTAGATGAAAAACAGAGAATGACTGTCCTTAATAGCTTGTGATTTAAAAATCCAAGTCAAAAGACGCCATGAAATGACTATTGGTGGCTGGCCAAAGAATACTTAATTGTCTAACTCTTCCAATGATGCAAAAAAATGGACAAGGGATTAAAAACCCATTGAATGTTGAATGGTCTTTGCAACATAAGAGTAAAAATGACTTACATTTTTTGAGTGTTTCCTATCCACCTGGCATGGAGCTAAATGCTTTCCATACATTATCTTGTTCAATTCTCTCAACTCAACAAAATGGTGGATATTTTTATCCCTATTTTACAAATGGAGGGGTTAAAGCCCAGGGGTTAAGTGTCTTGCCTAAGATGACCCAGTGAATAAGTTATAGAGCATGGATTTGAACCCAGACCTAGCTTGTCCTTTCTGGAACCCAAATTGAAGTCATTTCAAACCCTGAAATTAAGTAGCTTAGGATGTGATTTCCAAGATTGATTCCACTGGCGGGACGAGCTGCCATGGTGGCCTCTTCCTCCCTTCCCACCCACGTGCCTCTCTCCAAAGTGGTATGCAGCCGCTATGGGACACTCTGCTAGGTGTCAAAAAGTTCAAGAGGCTTTGCCTACATGCATTCTTAAGAGAGTTATAAATTCACGAGAATTGAAATAAAACTCAGAAAGTGCACACAACTCGAATTAATAGCTCAGTGTAGGAGGTCAGCGAGAAAGCTCTTCTAGAAATCAAATGCTAATCATTCTCTGCTTTACAGCAGACACATGACCATCTTTGGCCACTCTAGAATTTTAAAGGAAAGTGAGCAAGAACTACATTGTACAAAATCCATCAGATGTGCCCCTCCTTTTAGACACGTCACACAAATGCAGAACTTTAAAAATCAATAAAGGAGCCAAATATGCTTTACATAGCCAAAGATCTCATCCAGCAGATGTTGTTAACACGCATTGTGGAAAATAAAAGCTGGAGAAAACTAGCCACGATGCCTGGGACCATCCACTCTGGGTAGAAGGACCTACCAGGTTTAATCAGCAACCAGCGAAAGGAAACCCGAACCCTCAAGCACCTGCAACACAATTCCTCAGATAATAGCCTCAAGGTCACTCACAAATCATTCATCTTTAGATTAATATAGGCAAAATTATAAATACTACAAATCTGAATAAGGCTACTTTCCTCTTATCTCCATGAGTTCAAGCTCTTCTTTAGAGACAACCCAGACAACCCGTATTTCTTCTTCAAGAGCGTTACAACACACAAAGCTGACCGAAGTTCTTACCCCCAAGCTTGCACCGGCTCCTTCAGAGCTGCAGGTGTGGATGATTCACTGACAGGGCCAGAATTGGCGGCAGCAGAGTTTGAATCA